TCCGCCAGGCACCGCGTGAGTGGCACGACACACTGAGGACGACACTTGCGGCTCTTGGGTTTGCTCCTTCGACTGCTGACCCATCGCTGTTTCTGCGCACTGACACTTCGCTGCCGCCATTCTACATCCTCGTGTATGTCGACGACTTGGTCTTTGCCACTGCTGACACTGAGGCTCTCGCCCTGGTGAAGTCGGAGCTACAGAAGAGACACACGTGCACAGACCTGGGTGAGTTGCGCAGTTACCTTGGCTTGCAGATTACCCGGGACAGAGCACGCCGCACCATCACACTGACTCAGTCACACATGGTGCAGCAGGTCCTTCAGCGCTTCAACTTCACCTGGTCCTCGGCACAGTCCACTCCTCTGGCTACAGGTCACTCGCTCTCAGCTCCACCTTCGAACGAGTCCGTAGAGCCGAGTGGTCCTTACCCAGAGCTAGTGGGCTGCCTCATGTACCTGATGACCTGCACTCGTCCTGACCTTGCGTACCCTCTTGGCCTTCTGGCTTGCTACGTGGCTCTTGGTCGGCACCGAAAGGTGCACATGGATGCTGCTAAGAGGGTACTGCGCTACTTGTGCAGCACATCGGGCATGGGGCTCGTGCTTGGAGGGCGGAGTCCAGTTGTCCTCACTGGGCACTCAGATGCTTCTTGGGTTGACGACCAGGCTACACAGCGGTCGTCACAGGGTTACACGTTCAGCCTTGGCTCCGGCTCTGTTTCTTGGCGGTCTACCCGCTCGTCTTCAGTTCTCAGCTCCAGTTGTGAGGTTGAGATCTACGCCACAGCCATGGCTGCACAGGAGTTACGCTGGCTCACCTACCAGCTGACCGACTTGGGAGAGCGGCCTCGTTCTCCTCCAGTTCTGTACGTTGACAACAAGGCCGCCATTGCCTTGTGTCAGGAGCACAGACTGGAGCACAGAACGAAGCACATCGCTCTGCGTTACTTCCTGGCTCGAGAGTTGCAGCAGCGAGGTCAGCTTCGTCTTGCTCACGTGGCCACTCGGGCCAACACTGCTGATATATTCACCAAGGCACTTCCGTCTGGTGATCATCAGCGCTTTTGTACTTTGTTAGGCCTTGTGCCTACGTTTCCGCACTTGCTGTAGACTTTGCTTGTACTGTGATCTATATATATATATATATATATATACATATATATATATATATATATATATGCATGCTGGCTCTTGCTAGGTAGTCATCACTGTGCTGTTGTTGCTGCATATATATCTCTGCATGTAAACTGGCCTTGTGGCCCTTTGCTTGTGCTCAGTGTGTGTGGTGACGTTGTGATCCACCCTGAGCTTGCTTTGCCTTTCTTGACTGGTCTTGTGACCTCTTGTTCTCCCCCACTTTGCCTATGGGGGTGTGTCAAACATATATGCTGCTTATTGTGTAGGCTGTAGTGGGGTAGCCCATATGGGGTACAACCCAAATTAGGGTTTCATACTTGTACCCATCCTGCTGCTAGTTCATTCATTCCTGCTTGCTATCTTAACATACCGGACCTACAACAATGGAACAAGAAGCACACAGTGAGTAGTCAGCAACTCTAGGGCAAGCTAACACTCGAGGCCGGGAATTGCGAAAACAACTGCTCCCATTTGGACTAACACCAGTATCATCATTGGCGCGTGTAGGGTGGCACAGACACCAGCGGCAGGAGTTATTCTGAAGGCGGATGGGGAACGTCAGCTTCTCGAGGCGGCTGGGGACCACCAAGTCCTCCTTATCCCAAAGCTCCGACACTTCCTCCTGAAGACGTGGCAGAACGGGATCCATACTGGGCAACACTCGACACCAGTTGGGGTGGACCTCCTCTTCCATATCTATATCCATATGAAACTGTAGAGAAGGAACGAGAAGAGTCAGAAGGGATGATCTACGACTTTTGAGAAGCAGCAGAGCTACCTAAACCTAGCAAGGAAGCACCACCGCTGGAACAAGGATCCCAACTAATTTCCATCACCGACAACTAATACCTCTATCATCGCATCCCAATGGAAAGACTCCTTGCTTCTGAATTGCCAGAAGCAGTGCGACCTCAACAACCATTTTCGATTACCAACGACTGAATTTACGTTGTCGACACGGACAGCGCCATCGGCATCTCCGGCAATGAATTACGCCAGGCATCAACTCAAGCCTTCGCAACTGACGTCCAAGCCGCCTCCGACAAGAAACAAAAAAATCCGCAGCGAGAGGATGAGGAGAGAAACAAGTATTACAAGAGAACGATCAGTTGCCGCGCGAAATCAGAAAATTTAGCACTAGCGGATCGAACACTCATCACAAGCAACACTGAAGAATTCAATTGATGCCGAAATTTTTTACACTAGCGGACTTTCTTACCTGGCGGTGAAACACTCAAAGCAACAACTCCCGACTCGACATGCATTGTCTATCCGACCGCAGCACTCGCTCACAAGCTCTTCCCGGACTTACTCCCAGGGTATGAACGTCAATCAATAAAGCTAAAAAGCTTTCAAACAGACGGGGGGGCTGGAGTACTTCTCAACTGAGTTCAAGGAACTCTTCGCCACAAAAGGGAATTAAACACCTGGTGTCCCTTCCCCACGCACACGAACAGCAAGGAGAAGCAGAATGGACAAATAGGAGCTTCGCAACAAGGATGAGAGTCCTTATGAAGCAGTCCATTATCCCAACACAGTATTGGATGTTCGGATGCACAACTTGCTCTCGCCTCGAAGCCTCAAGAACAACACGTCTCCTTACAAGGCTTGGACAGGCAAAAAAGCTGACATACGTTAGCTTCGATGTTGGGCTGCATGGTACAGTACAGACCCCACACGGCAAGAACCGGAAAATTTGCTAACCGGGCACGCTAGGGCATTTACCACGGGGTCGAAAAAAGAGTTAAAAGAGTGAATCGTGCTGGACTACGCGACATATGAAGCGACGAAATTACCTGCATCTTCTACGAGATGCTGACTCCGCCACTGTTCATGGGACACTGCGAAACTGACAAGGCACCGGAAAGAGTTTTCAAGGGGCACCGCAGCTTTGCCATATCACAAGATGAGGTTGACGTGTTAGAGGATGCAGACGCAACGGACGTCACACCATTCGATTCTTTTCCCAACATCTTCTTTATAAGTTTATTTCAGGCTCTAACCTTCATACATGTTTCCCAATCTGATCCGGACGATACAGTGAAACCCATAACCACAATAGTACAGCGCACCAATCTCTGTATGTCTAGTTACCACCGCCAAACCCCTCGCAAGACACCATCCGCAATGGTCACGATAGCGACGACGACTTTATCGAAGTTACCTGCATGCACGCCCACGATCGCATCGCCTTCGAAGAACCAAAAAAACCGGCCTCCACATCCTTGGGCTCGCAGTAGTTTGCCACAACTCACCCAAGGAACCTACCACCGTGTGCCAGGCCCTATCTGGGGCCGATAGTGAGAAGTGGAAAGCAGCCATGGCGGTTGAAGAAGCAGCACCGAAGCGGAACGGGACTTGAAAGCTTGTTCTTTGATCATATGCTAAGGGGAGAAAAAATATTTAAACGAAAAGTGGGTCTTCAGAATCAAGACGCTCGCGGATGGGACGACGACAAGTATAAAGCGAGATGGGTAGTGCGTGGCTTCGAGCAAACTCATATGGTGGACTACGATTAAACCTTCGCGCCCGTCGGACGGCACACCTTGGTGCGCATCTTTATCTGGATCGCAGCCATAAAAAAGCGACCGATTCGACTGCGCCGAGTCAGAAATACGCCTGTGACAATTTCTTTTGGGAGATGTCTTGTTCCGAATGTACCCTCAATATCCTTAGAATGTGGAACCAAGTACAGAAGTAGGATAGTGAGGCAACCTACAAAGGTGCTTCGTCAGCGGGTTACTTTCGCGACAAACGGCAGTCAAAACCCTCAACCGAAGCCACACCCAGCGCGGACTGTATTGCTAGGGGGGGTGGCTTGTCGGTTGCGCGGGTAAAGTTTCGGCGTTCTGTCGCTGAGCGTACGGCATGGACGGTGCTCGTCGCTTGTGCGCTGGCTCACGTTGCGCCCTTGTACTCTAGTGCTCCGCTACCGATGGATACCGCGTTTCGTCGTTTCGTTTTTCGTCGCAACACACTTCTCTCTCGTCGACAATCGTGCAGGGCTTTCGAGGAGGTTCGCAGCACTGGTTTGACATGCCAACTGAGTTTTTTCGCCTGTCCTTCACCCCCCTCCAGCACCGAATTGCAAATACGCAAATAGATTATAGAACTTTCGTTCACCAGAATAGAACTAGTTTGATCTCGCCGTCACAACAGCCACACAGCCACCTTCCCGCCATCACACATCACACCCTCCCACGGCAGCGGCCCAGAACCCCGAAGCTCCTTCCGAGTGTCTCTACTTTCCGCGATTGCTGTGGACCCTCTTAGGTCCATGGCATTAGGCAATGCGGTCGTAGTGAAGACTGGATCCTGAATTGAATGAGAAGCGTTTAGAGTAATAGTGGTGGCAATTGATTGGCGAACTAGACAGCTATCGCGTTTGAAGTGGCCCACGGACTTGTTTCATATTTCAAACCCGCTGCCTAGACAGTTTGACATAGCGTAGTCTCGTGCTCGTAGTTGCCGTTGCGGACAGTTGCATTCAAGACGTCTCAAGACTCACCGCGATCGCACGAAAGTCCACTGATGGGCTCGTGCGCAGCTGGGGCATGCGTCTCCCCCCTCGACGCAATAGCAACCCACAGGCACCTTCACACCCGCGCGAACACCGCGGAAGCCCTCGCTACAGTCACAGCGTTTCATGACGTAGTAATGGGTGGTTATAGTCAACAGGCAAACCAGAGCTCACTCGTTACCGATGTTTGCGATACTGGATCACTCGATACATGCGTGCTTTCAGCACAGGACGCAAGTGCGTGGGGCTCTGCATCATGGCTCCAGCCAGCAGGGACTGCGGCAGCCTTCTACGGGCTTGGCGATCACTCTCGAAGCTTCGCCGGCGCTGCGTCCGCGCCGATGGCCCAAGCGCGAGCCTCTCCGTCGGGAGCGCACTTGTCCTACTCCACGCCGCCCAGCCCACTCTCTCTCGACGGCTTGCCGCACTCGTTGGAAGGTCGGGTGAGCAACCCTCCTCACGCGCCCACTCTGCAAGGCGCTGGTGTGGCGGAGGCGGCGGAGCTGACGGCGGCCCTGGGCGCGATGGGCGGAGACGAGGAGATGGCGGAAGAGGGTAGCTGTGAGGGCGGAAGGGGGTTGGAGTGGCGGCGAGTGGTGGCGATGCTGATGTCGGACACTAAGCACGCGATGACTACTGTGGATAGCGTCATGGGCGGGCAGGGAGGGCAGGACGAGCAGCAGCAGCAGCAGCAGCAGCAGCATCACGACGAGATGCGAAACCAGCAGCTGTCGTACCAGCATATTGGTATGCATCAAGAACAGACGCATTATTATCAAGCTGATAACAATATACACGACGATCACGAGAAGCAGCACCCAGGGCAGCGGCTCGGGACTGACACGGCGCAGTGTCACCATCGCAACTGGCAGGCGACCCCATCCGCGTCATCTCCGCTCAAGCTCGTTATACCCATCCCGCGGCACCACGGGGAGACCCGCTCCGCAGCGAATACCACAGCAGCACACGTCGGCGATGGGCTCACGGCCCACCAATTTCAGAGCCCGTGTCGACAACTTCAACGTTCTCCTGCGGCAACTCCCGTATTCTCAAATCCTGTCCGCGACGCACCACTGCCTTACGATCCAGTCGAAATTGCCAGCGACGGTAAGCCGCGCCGAGTCCCGCTTCGACACTGCGAACGGAGTCAGCCGCCCAGGCTGTCGCTGACGGAAGCTCGTCCGCACGATCTGCTTGGCTCAGAGCAGCCTGCGCCGGAGGGATGGCGAAGCAAGTCGAAACGACGCGCGGAAACAATGGGGTCACCTCGTGTTCAAATACCGTCGCGTGGCGTGCAGATGGTGTCGCCTGGCGACGGGATCGCGTCGCCTGCCGGCCTGACGTCCTCGCCTGGCGTTCGGATGGCGACGTCCCCTGGCCTACAGTCGCCTCCAACAATTCTGCTGGACGACATGAGTGCACGGAGTGGGCGAAGCGCGACGAAGCGAAGGCGCGGACATTCTGGTTCGTGGGAGGTAAGCCTCCAAGTAACTTGCTATCTAAGTATCAGCGCGTTTGACTATGATGGGAGTCGCGTTTGTTCTCGTCTAGAGGTTTCTAAACTTCTCGTTCTTTCGTGACCCCCCCTACCGAACTCCCTCAGGCTCGCGGAAGCAGCGCTTCCCCAGGTGGCAATAGAGCGGTAGTTGCGGAGGAGGAGCGTCCCGCAGTCACTGCGTCGCCCGCCGCTACCGCCACCCCATTCGAGGGGCCTGATTGGCTGCACCACCTGCACTCGGGCAAGCTGCAAACGCTCCCCATCATGGTACGGCGCATCATGGTGGCTAGACAAAACGCGACTTCGTGGTCTAACAAGTTACCATTCGGCTGAACACTGTTTACCATCCGTAATTCCTCATCTTGCCCAAGATGAGAGTCAACCTAAAATACTCAATTAACAGCTTTTGTGTGCGCTCTGCTTCTTATCGTTCTGAGCAGCTACGGATGGAGACGACCAAGGATCGCATCTCGCTGCTACGACAACTCGTCGCACCCGCACTAACGAAGGTAACATAAAAGTGGCATGATAGTATCAGCAGCTGAATTAGGACCTTGCTAGTGCACTACTCTTGCTTTCCCTAACGCTCCAAATCTGCTCATGCGTGCAGGGTGACACGGCGACAGTGCTTGGCGAAGTCGAACAGTTTGTGAGGGCAGTCTACGAAAAGCTCAAGGAGATCAGCAACGGTCACGAGCAGCACGCCACGTTTCCCGCCAAAGAAAATGCTGGGGTGTGGTGCGCTCCGGCTACTAGCTGGGCAGAAAATGAATTTGGGGCGGATGGAGGTGTTGGCGGGCGCGATGGTGTGGGATTGGCTGCCAAGGGTCTGAGGCTGGTTACCCGTCGAACAGCGGAGAACTTCGTGAACCGAGCGACACATTGTAGAAAGCTGTAACAGATTAAACGGAATTTGATAACTATCTGAACGAGAAGCATATATCTGCTCCTGGTTCAGCTAGTTACCTTATTTCCACTCTCATCTACTCCAGTCAGACAGTTGCAAAGATTTTCTTTTTCCCCTTGTGAAAGGCATTAAGATTAGCATAATTGCATGTGTATATTTAGGGACTAACTCTCGATTCATATGAAAAAAAAAATGACACTTCACAAGATTTTGTACCTCAAATATTTATTTTGTCCCCTGCAAGTGCACTGCCTGCTTGCTTTATCTGGACCTTGCTGGAATATTACAAAAGTTTAATTTATGAACATTGTTCCATGTGCCCTCATTATATTCCCGCCTCCATTGCCGTGCTGGCCAGCCACCATCCAAGCTGGCAAGTGAACTTCAACGACGAGTTACCGCCGCTTCAAATTCGCTTTCGCTTCGACAAAATGTCGTGCGAGCTTCGTTTCGTGAATCTGGAGATTTCAACATCGTCCCTCACGATCTCGATGTGGAGTGGGCTGGGACGAGGCTAGATACGGTTTAGTGGGATGACAAGGGATATATATGAGTTTGATCATCGAGCACCATCGAAGAGCAGCAGGGCAGAACAGGCAGAGCACAACGCCAGAGACATGTACAAGCAACACCACCCATTCTTGACATGCAGTGTTCTCTTTTTGTTTTCCTACGATGAACCCGTTCGACTAACCCGTTCATAATCTCGTAGTTTAGGCTATATATTCCTCGTACACTGGACGCGCTTTTGACATGGCTGCGCACTTCACTGTCGCGACGCTGCTGCTTCTCTCCCTCGTGTCTTGCGTCTCAGCGTTCGATCTGTCGGTCAGCCCAGCCGACGTGCTCACCGCAGGATTGAAGGTCGGACCCGTCAAGCAAGTCGTAAGTGTCGGAAACACCCGTCGCTCAGAAGCACCCGTCGCTCAGAAACATCCGTCGCTCAGAAGCGCCCGTCGCTCAGAAACGCCCGTTGCTCAGAAACGCCCGTCGCTCAGAAACACCCGTCGCCCCGCGCTTTCGGTAGTAATCGACTCGTTTACGTTGCTCTCCGTGCATCTACCTGTCAATGCCTGGAAGGGTCCGTCTTACAACAACCTATACTGCCGTGCTGTTTCAGGCGAGCTCCTCCTCCCCCTCCTCCTCATAACGCGCGCAGGAATCCGCGGGGATCGATCTCAGCAGGGTGGTGCGACTATCCGATAAGGAGCCGCGCGCGTTTCTGTATAAGAGCTTTCTGTCGGACGACGAGTGCGACCACATCGTCAACATCGCCACCGCTCGACTCGCCAGGTAATCACCACCCACTCCACCCCGCCAGACACCACGCGTAACGCGTTGCATGCGCTCGTCAATCCCAGCGGCCACCCGTGTCCACAGAGGTGCAGTATGGCGCACTCTCTACCTCGTGCCTCGTGCCCATTGCCTTCAATCGACCAAGGCGTTTCCTGTGTGGCAGGCGGTGAGAAGGCTCTTGAATTTCAACAAACTTCCTCCTTTCCCCTTTGCTTCCTTCCCCCCATCTCCCTTTTTCCCCCTCCCCGCTTCCCCCCTTCCCTTCATTCCACTTCCCCCACCCCCTTTAGCAGGTCAGCAGTGGCGGACAGCAGCAGTGGGCAGAGCGTGGTGAGCGGGGTGAGGTGCGCGCGGTGGCAGGCATGTTTCTCCTTCCCCTCCTCCCCTCCTTTCCCCAACCTCCCTCCCCTTCCTCCATCCCCCTTTCCCGCCTTCCTCTCCCCCCCTCCCTTCCCTCCCCCCACCACCCCCTCCGCAGGTCAGCAGTGGCGGACAGCAGCAGTGGGCAGAGCGTGGTGAGCGAGATGAGGTGCGCGCGGCGACAGGCATGCTTCTCACCAAGGGCCACGATGACTCCTTTATCTCGTGACGTCTTAACACTTCAATCCTTCCCCTCCTTCCCTCCTCCCCCTCCTTCCCCCGCAGGTCAGCAGTGGCGGACAGCAGCAGTGGGCGGAGCGTGGTGAGCGAGGTGCGCACATCAACGGGCATGTTTCTCACCAAGGGCGAGGATGACGTCATCCGAGCCATCGAGCAGCGCGTCAGCGAGTGGACGTTCCTCCCCGTGGCCAATCAGGAGGCTCTGCAGGTACCGTGGCCAATCAGGAGGCTCTGCAGGTACCGTGGCCAATCAGGAGGCTCTTCAGGTATTGGGCGAGCTTGGGGCATATGCGGATTAGACTTGGTATGCCGCTGCCAGGTGCTGTGACTTGGCGCCCACCACATGCCCACCACATGCCCACCACATGCCCACCACATGCCCACCACATGCCCACCACATGCCTCAGCTGCTGCCACACAGCACGGGCCACACTGCGCCCCCCTCCGCTATAATCCTCCTCACACTGGCCCACGCTTGTATCACTCTTGAGAATTCTCACTAGTGATACAAACATAGTCCTGCCCCCCGCCATTCCCACCTCCTGCAGCATGGCGGTGCGCCTCAAGTCCCACCTGCACTGGCGCTGCTCCCTCATGGTCATGGCTCCCCTCTCCTCGTTACCGCTACCATCCCATCCAACCCTCCACTCCACTTCTCAGCTCATCTTCACTCCACTCCTGACACTCCACGCCACTCCACGCCACTCCATACCACTCCACTCCTCAACCCTTTTCCACGCCACTCCACGCCAATCCATACCACTCCACTCCTCAACCCTTTTCCACGCCACTCCACGCCACTCCATACCACTCCACTCCTCAACCCTTTTCCACGCCACTCCACGCCACTCCATACCACTCCACTCCTCAACCCTTTTCCACGCCACTCCACGCCACTCCATACCACTCCACTCCTCAACCCTTTTCCACGCCACTCCACGCCACTCCATACCACTCCACTCGTCAACCCTTTTCCACGCCACTCCACGCCACTCCATACCACTCCACTCCTCAACCCTTTTCCACGCCACTCCACGCCACTCCATACCACTCCACTCCTCAACCCTTTTCCACGCCACTCCACGCCACTCCATACCACTCCACTCCTCAACCCTTTTCCACGCCACTCCACGCCACTCCATACCACTCCACTCCTCAACCCTTTTCCACGCCACTCCACGCCACTCCATACCACTCCACTCCTCAACCCTTTTCCACGCCACTCCACGCCACTCCATACCACTCCACTCCTCAACCCTTTTCCACGCCACTCCACGCCACTCCATACCACTCCACTCCTCAACCCTTTTCCACGCCACTCCATACCACTCCACTCCTCAACCCTTTTCCACGCCACTCCACTCCACTCCACTCACTCCTCCTCAGCCCTTCTCCCCCACTCTGCTCCGTGCAAACCCTTTTCCGTACCCCTCAGATCTTGCACTACGACACACTGCAAAAGCCCAATTCGCACCTGGACTACTCACTCCCTCTTGTCTCCTCTCTCTGCCACCTCCTCCCCCTCCTCCCCCGCATGCCATGCATTGCAATCACCACCTCGTCTTCAACCCTTGACCATGCGTCATGGGGCAGAAGCACAACTCCCATGTGGCTGCTTCTCCCGCCCCGTCAACACGCAGATGCTACTGCTGCACTGCCCCTGTGCGCCACACATTCAACCTTTACCCCACTCCACCCCACTCCACCCAATCCACTCCACTCCTCCTCAACTCTTCTCTGTACACCTCAGGTCCTCCGTCTTGCCATAGAGCAGAAGTACGACGCCCATCTGGACTATTTCTCTGATCCCGTCAACACACAGCTGCGCATGCTGAAGTGCAGCCGTGCGTCAGAAGTCAGACCTATACTGCATTTTAACCCCCTCAACCGCACTACACCGCACCCACTCCATTCCCCTCAGGTACTCCGGTACGGCATCGAGCAGAAGTAGGACCCACACTTGGACTATTTCTCAGACCCCGTCAACACGCAGCTGCATCTGCTGCAGTGCGGCTGTGCGCCAGAGTTTATCCTCTACCGCACTCCATCCCACTCCACTCCACCCCACTCCACCACACTCCAACACCCTCAGGCCCTGGGATACAACATCGGGCAGAAGTACGACCCCCACCTGGACTATTTCTCCTACCCTATAACCACGCAGCTGTGTGCAGCTGTGCACAAGAATTCCAATCTGTACTACACTCCATCCCCCTCCACCACACTTCACCGCACTCCAACGCACTCAGGTCCTGCGGTATGCCATAGGGCAGAAGTACGACGCCCACCTGGACTATTTCTCGGACCCCGTCAACACGCAGCTGGCCATGCTGCAGTGCGGCTGTGCGCCAGAAGTCCGATCTATACCTCACTTCACTCCCCTCAACCCCCGTCCACCCCACTCCACCACACTCAGGTCCTGCGGTATGCTATCGGGCAGAAGTACGACGCCCATCTGGACTATTTCTCCGACCCTGTCAACACGCAGCTGGGCGGGCACCGCTACGCCACGGTGCTCATGTATCTCAGCAATGTGACTAAAGGCGGGGAGACTGTGTTCCCCACAGTGAAGGACGACACACCGAAAGACGACTCGTGGTCCGACTGCGCTAAGGGCGCTTTAGCTGGTGAGTGCTGAGAGGGGAGCGACCACCGCTATCACATGGTGCTGCTGCTCATGTATCTCAGCAACGTCACTAAAGGAGGAGAGACCGTGTTCCCCACTGTCAAGGACGCCACACCGAAAGACGATTCGTGGTCCGACTGCGCTAAGGGCGCTTTAGCTGGTGAGTGCTGACAGTGCTGGGGAGGGGAGGGCCCCCCGCTACGCCACGGTGCTCATGTACCTGAGCAACGTCACTAAAGGCGGGGAGACCGTGTTCCCGACATTCAAGGATGAGACGCCCAAGAATGACTCCTGGTCCGACTGCGCTAAGGGCTCCCTCGCTGGTGAGTGGCGAGAGGGAAGATGGTGAGAGTGGGGTGCAGATGGTGAGAGTGGGGTGCAGATGGTGAGAGTGGGGTGCAGAGGGAATGGAAAGGAAATGGAAGTGAGAGCAGGTGAGGGGATAAGGGCACTGCACTCCAACCCTCCCTTCCTGCCCCTCCCTCTCTGCCCATCCCTCTTCAACCCTCTCTCCCTGCCCCTCCCTCCTTTCCCACCCCTCCCTGTCTACCCCTCCGTCCCCACCCGTCTGTCCCCATCCATCCATCCCCACGGCTCCCCCCTCCCATTAAGGCCCCCACACCGCCCTGCTCTTCTTCAACATGCATCCACACGGCTCCCCGACCCCCGCTTCTTTGCACCACGCGTGCCCCGTGGAGTATGCCATTATGTGGCCCCTCTCATCCCTGCCTCTTGCTCCTCGCTGTGCCCTCCTCACCCCTACTGCTTCCCATCCCTCCCCCTACTGCTTCGCCGTCCTTGCCTCCTTGCCTCTCCTTGCCCCGCCTTCCCATCCCTCCCCCTACTGCTTCGCCCCCCTCCCCCACCAGTGAAGCCCTGCTCTTCTTCAACATGCATCCAGACGGCTCGCCTGACCCTTCCTCGCTGCACCACGCGTGCCCTGTAGTGGAGGGAATCAAGTGGTCGGCACCCAAGTGGATTAGAATGGGTGATGTCACGGTGCCGCTAGACAGTGCTGCTACCCCCGCCTGCCAGGACAGCAACGCGTAGTGAGTGCCACTGAGCCTCGGTTGTTTGGGTAGCAGTTCTCCCCGTGCCACTGAGTGATGCTGCCACTCACTGCACCACGCCTGCCCTGTGGTGGAGGGCACCAAGTGGTCGGCACACCCAAGTGGATCCGCATGGGCGATGTCACGGTGCCACTCGGTTTGATGCTGTGTTGCTGCGGCGTGTCTGGACAGCAACGCGTAGTGAGGGTAGCAAATGTGAGGGATGGAGGGGCGTTAGAATGGGTGCAGAGTTGTGCGTGGGTAGCAGCAACGCCTAGTGAGTGGTGGTTGTGCGTGGGTAGCAGCAATGTGCAGTGATTTGTGGTGATTGACAGCGGTGGTGGGAGCAGTGGTGGGGGTGGGGAGGGCAGCAACTGCCCGGTGGTGGAGGGAATTAAGTGGTCGGCACCCAAGTGGATCCGCATGGGTGATGTGACGGTGGCTCTAGACAATGCTGCTACCCCCGCCTGCCAGGACAGCAACGCGTAGTGAGTGGTGGTAGTGTGTGGGTACAAGCAATTTGCGGTGAGTAGTGCGCGCCTTGACAGTGGTGGTGGGAGCAGTGGTGGGTGTGGGGAGGGCAGCGCGTCCTCTGTGGTGGAGGGCATCAAGTGGTCGGCACCCAAGTGGATCGACATGGGTGATGTGACGGTGCCACTAGACAATGCTGCTACCCCCGCCTGCCAGGACAGCAACGCATAGTGAGTACTGGTTGTGTGTGGGTAGTAGCAATGTGCAGTTAGTTCCCCGTGCCACTGAGTGCTGCTGTCGCTCACTGCACCATGCCTGCTCGGTAGTGGAGGGGATCAAGTGGTCAGCACCCAAGTGGGTCCGCGTGGGCGATGTCTCCGTGCCTCTGGATGATGCTGTGTTGCTGTTTGTGAGGATAGCATGCGTAGTGAGTTATGGTTGGTTGTGTGGGTCGTATATTTTCTAGCAATAGAATTGACTAAACGCACGAATGCGAGGGATGGAGGGGCGTTAGAATGGATGCAGGTGGGCAACGTGGTGGTGCTGCTGGGTGCTGCCAGCACAAGCATGTGCACTGAATGGTGTGCAGGGCGTCAATGTGTTTGAGGGCTACGAGAGTCATCGGGGCGTGGCAGGGTGGGACACAGTAACCTTCAGGGTGAGCATAGGTAGAGTGTGTCTCTAGGTGCTGCTGCCTCACCTGCTTGCTTCCTGCTTTCTCCTGCCCTAACAGCTGACCGAACCTCGTGCCTCCTCTACCTATCTTCCCTGTTCGGAACTTGTCATTTTTTGCCACGCACTCTGCTCCCCCCGCCCCCACCCCCCCTTTGTGCAGCTGTGAGGCGTGGGCCAAGGAGGGCCACTGCACATCGGATCAATACAAGGGGTACATGGTTGGAACCCCAGGGTCACCTGGGGCTTGTCGCAAGGCTTGCAATGCCTGTCACTTATGATATGTGTGTCTCGTTGTACGGTCGCGATTGTGGGCTTAGGGGCCGAAACCTGATCCATGCTGGTGCTGTAAGGACGCGTCACATTTGACACGCCGAAGGAGGATCGGGTTCACGCACCGAAGCTGTGGGCGTCGTCACCTCTGAGCCACATGTGTCACAATCGTCTTCAAGATCGATATTTAGCGAGGTTGGAATTGTTATTGACAGTTGTAAAAGCATTACGTATGTTTTGAGTGCGGTGATAGATCGATCTGGAAGAGCCATCGCGCTCGATGACGTGTCTCGAGTTCCAGCGAATATCAGCAAAATGTGGATACAAGACTTGGCGACTTACTGTACACCCCACACATAGATCCTCTGCAGGATCGATGTGTCAAATGTGACGCGTCCTAAGGTTCTGGTTTTCAGTAAAGCAGAACCAATCCTGGAGATCAGCGTTGGCAACTTTCAGATGGGTTAATGAATATCTTATCTACCGGTATTAGACTTCAGTAAATTCCTCCTGTCTTCATTGGTGACAATCAATTACACACTTTCATGTACTTCAACCAACGTCAAAATCCCGTTTCGATATTATGTTGGTAGGGGCCGCGCGAACGAACCCCCGCTGCCACAAATAATGACGTGCATCACCGGGAGTTCCGGCGTGCTAGGAGTAGGACTGACCGAAGTGCAATGGCGGGCCCACCCCTAGGCCATCGGCCTTCTTGATCACCGATAGACCCCGCCCAGGTAAGTATACCTGGAACATGTCGAGATTGAGTTTCTGTTCCCATTGGTTCGAGGCCTGCTTTAATGGTCCATGGGCTTGCGCTGCCACGTGTCATTGTGTGCTGGTTGGGTCTGGCAGCTGGCTTTCAACGCGAAAGGGTCGATATGCCGAGCCATGAGACGCGGGTTCAATTCTTCGACATGCAAATTTCGTTTTCCCGTGCAGAGCGGGCAAATATGACGCCACAAGTGACACTTCTGCCGTTGCGTTAGGGTTTAGACTCGTAAAAATATGGCATTTGCTCGTCATTGGTACTGTCCTAGACGTGCCGACTAGGTAAACTCGAGTAGCACATATTTTTCGGCCTTAATCAAGTCGCAGTAGACTTCGTCAGCGCCGTTCGCAGCTCCATCTCTCTCTCCCAAGCCCGCATCGCAGAGGGTAGCGTCGCAGAACGTCGCAGAGGGTAGCGTCGCAGAGGGTAGCATCGCAGAAGTTGGCGTCGCAGAGGGTAGCGTCGCAGAACGTCGCAGAGGGTAGCGTCGCAGAGGGTAGCATCGCAGAAGTTAGCGTCGCAGAGGGTAGCGTCGCAGAGGGTAGCATCGCAGAAGTTAGCGCCGCAGAGGGTAGCGTCGCAGAGGGTAGCGTCGCAGAGGGTAGCGTCGCAGAGGGTAGCGTCGCAGAGGGTAGCGTCGCAGAGGGTAGCGTCGCAGAGGGTATTCGGCATGCCAGCAGGACCGCAGTCCAATGCACTGTCTCGTCGTGATGCGGTCCGAACGGGAACCCAGACGCGACTCGGCTTCTCGGCTGCAAGTCAAACCGAGAATCCACCTCCCTCCAGTCAGGCTCTATCCGTCCGAATTTCAGATCGTCGTCGCTAACGGTACCCGCAATATTGTGGGTTTATGGCAGCAACATCAGAAAACCTAGAATCTAAAAACTCGCAACTCGAAAAATAATGGATCCGTGCCGTTTGCTGGCGGCCGTTGGATGAATTTCCCTGGCTGGCAGATCCGACACGAGCTCCAGGCGCCTCTTTAGCCGACACGTGTCCGGTTGCCCTTACGATCCCCAACTTGCATGCCACCTGTGTCTGCACAAGCCGATACGCCGTGTTCAGCCCATGACCGTCCAAGCTGTGCGATGGTGCGCGAGGTGGATGCGTCACATTTAACCGAGGTGGATTGGAATTAACTAACATCTCGTCGAAGGTGAGACGAGCGCACACACAAGCGTGTGCGTTTCCCCACTTTCTCCGAACACAGTTTTGATGTTGTTCAATGCTCGTCCCAACCCCCCCCGCTCTGACTCTGCGCCTGCCATTCACCTGGTTCGCCCGTACTTACCGCATCTCCCCCCGGTCGTCGTCCCTGCCGCCATCCGCACTGCCCAACCATTTGCGATCTGAAGCGAGAAGATCGCATGTTCGGGTGCGCGTGCAAGACGCATGCTTCCGAGGCGCGTGATAAGTTGAGAGGGTTGGACGCGCGTGCCTGATGAATGCTTGGTCGGCCTTGGGTTCATGCATGCACGCGGCATCACGGCGAAGTGGGAGACTTCCGTGCTTAGGGGGGAGGGGTATGGGGACGAGGGGAGGGCGGAGGAATCGTGCAGGGAAGCGAGTGAAGGGAGTGCAGAGGATAGGGGGGATGGAGGGGGGTTGGGTGAGGCCGAAATGGGGTTGCAGAAGGCTCACGAGGATGTACCCTTGCGGGATCTCCATCAATCTGATGCCATGTGGGCCACGGGTGGGCATGGCACAGCAGCACAGCAGCCGCATGGCGCCACAGCCCCCTCTCACCAAATGGCAGGCCCCTGCCGCGCAAGAGAGCCCAACCTTATGTCCCTTCCACCAGCCCACCGCCCGTCCCTCACTCCCTCCCTCATCTGCACTGTCTCACCCGAGTGAGTGGTTCTCATTGGTTCGCACCCGCACTGTCTGACCGATGAGAACCATCACCATCATTATGGTTCTCATGGGTCGACTGAGTGGCAGTGCGGTGATGAGATTCGCTCCCTCTCGCTCCATTGCTGCACTCGCCTGGCAGCGTGGGCGGGCGAGAGCAGGCTGAGGGGGGTAAATGGGAGTGTTGCTCTTTCCAAGCATGGGCATAAAATTTCCGTCTGCATTCCCCCCCACCCTTCCCAGCTCAAGCACCCTCACGTCAGCTCAAGCACCCTCACGTCAGCTCAAGCACCCTCACGTCAGCTCAAGCACCCCCACGTCAGCTCAAGCACCCCCACGTCAGCTCAAGCACCCTCACATCAGCTCGTTACCATTGCTCACACCTCTGCCTCACCATCTCACCCATCTCCCCCACCCGGCAAGGCAGAGGCGGCAGCAGTAGCAGCGAGGTGCAGGAGGTGCAGCGAGTAGTGCAGCGTGTCGTGTGTGAGACACTGACACCTGCCACAGCCATCTTTCACACCCACCTCAACCGCCCCTCAGCCATCTTTTCACACCCACCTCAACCGCCCCTCAGCCATCTTTTCACACCCACCTCAACCGCCCCTCAGCCATCTTTTCACACCCACCTCAACCGCCCCTCAGCCATCTTTTCACACCCACCTCAACCGCCCCACAGCCATCTTTTCACACCCACCTCAACCGCCCCTCAGCCATCTTTTCACACCCACCTCAACCGCCCCTCAGCCATCTTTTCACACACACCTCAACCGCCCCACAGCCATCTTTTCACACCCACCTCAACCGCCCCACAGCCATCTTTTCACACCCACCTCAACCGCCCCACAGCCATCTTTTCACACCCACCTCAACCGCCCCACAGCCATCTCAAAAGACGGCCGTGACAAGAGGCCGAGGCACCTGTCACAGCCGTCTCCTTCCCCTTCATCTGCCTCCCAGCCCTTCCCTCTCACATTTGGAAGGTGGTTTGTTCTGAGACCGTCGCATAATGAATCCCCCCAGGGCACTCCTGACTGCGCATGAGTGTGCTCAGTCTCCCTGCCCAGCTTCCGTTTCACCCTTACTTATGGAGCTCATCCATTGCCTTGCCTGTGCCACATCCCCCCTCCTCCATCCTCCTCCTACACCTTACAAGCTCGCTTCAACGCTGTAAGGACTGCATGCGCTGTGCGTTGAGTCGTGCGCTTTGTCCTGTCTGGGGAAGGTGGATATGACTAGGTGCTCACACCTTGAGCGGGTGCTACAATTGCTGTGAAGATACGATGTGATTATAGTGAGTGATGTTGTGAGGCTTGAAATGAAGGGCACGTGGGAACGCAGGCAGGGTGGGCAAAACATCCCTGAATTTGAGTAGTGCTTCTGATAGTTTTGTAAATAAAGCTGAAGGTTAAATGAGATGGTTAATGATTTAATATTCAGAAGCCAAAGCGAAACAAGAAAAGGAAACATCTTATAAGACTAATTCGCTAAGCTAATGCGCCTTTCTAGAATCCCTAGCCTCCATAACTTGCCTCATGGGCCCTATGAATTTTGCTACAATCACCCCTGCTGCAAGCCCACCACGTCCCTTATCCCCTTGGCGCAGTGAACATCAACCTGAAAGGCCACGCGTGCAGTGGCGCCGGCAGGCCAGGCAGTG